AAAAAAAAAAAAAAAAAAAAAAAAACAGTTACTGAAGAGTCAACCTCCATATTACGATGTCAGCTCTAACCCTGTAATTCAACAGTCTGGAATGTAAAATCGCAGTGTTTCCTTGGTTAGGGTATGATTCTGAGGTTCAAATGGAGTCATTGGACTAGCTGGTAAACATTGGAGGAAAACAAAGCTATAAGGGAAGACCACTTGAGATCGCTATTTTATACACATACACACATTTGTATATATTATATAAAAAAGTATGGCAGACATACACACAGACAGAATATTGTATACATAATAAATAAATATTTTAAAAAAGTATGGTACTGGCACAGGAAGATGAGATCAGCATCAAACTATTTCTACCCATATACATATAGGAACTTGATATAAGTTAAAGCCATGCTTTTCAAATCAGGGAAGAATGGGCTTAACCAATAATGTCGACACAATTATCATGCGGAAAAAAATGAATCATTCTGTAGTTAAAAATACCTTTCAGATGAATTAAAAATGCAACCCTTAAAGATGAAATCTATAAAGTTTTAAGAAAACTGTTAAGGAGATTATCCAAATTTGGAGTAGGGAATGTTCTTTTGAATCTGTCAAAAAGTTGGCAGGTTTGACTGCTTAAAAATGAAAAGGGTTTAGCTAAAGATATTTTAAACAAAGTTAACATAGAAATGGTGTGTTAGGCTGGTGGTATATGTTGTCCATAGAAAGGATGAAGATCAAGAGCCAGAATATGTATGTATAATACATGCTGTTTTCTGTCTTGGGGATGGAACCCAGACCTGGGGCAGACTGCCCAGGCCCTCTACCACTGAAGTGCTCCTGCTGCGGTCCAGTTCTTTTTTCATTTAAAGATGGTCTCACTGTATTGTCTAGGCTAATCTTGAAAGCCTAGGCTCAAGCGATCCAGACTCCATTGTATCACTGCTCCAGTCTATGCGATATCTGTAACCACTCCTCTTATACGAACTGTTTGGTTGACTTCCCTACTACCGTAGACTGAAGGCATTTCTAGCACACTCAGTTCTTTGCAAGGTGCTTGTGACTTGGAGCTTGAACAAATGGATGCATTTTGTGTAGAGCTTGGATTCCAGTCAAGCCAGAGGGCTGGGTACCAGTTGGGAGACAGCTGCCATGGTTTTTAATGAGCGTAGGAGACAGAAAGCAGCAGAGAGACTGTGCAGAAGATAAGATGGACAGATAAGAAGATAAGATGAGTTGAATGGTTGTGGATTTTTTGTGGGTTGGGAGGTGGGGTGTGGGTACCAGGTCCCCCAGTTTTCAGGCCTGGGCAGCTGGATTGCTGTAGCCCTGCGTGGTGCCAGGGAAACACAGAAGAAGCACAAGTTTGGGGAAAGGCTGTTGGGAAAGGTCAGCTTGGTTTTGGACTGGCTGTGCTCTAAGACTCCCAGGTGAGCAGAACAGTATAAAGTTAGCCTCACGGAAAGGAAGTTTGGGCTGTTACATTAAGTTTTGTGAATCAGTATTAGCTCCTTGCTTGTTAAATACATCCCTAGTTACAGAAAACAGCAGAGCAAACCAGGGATACTGTGTACTACTGTAGAGGGTCACTAAGGGAGGAGGTCTCGAAAGGAAATGAGAAGTGTGTGAGCATCTTGCTTGGGTCTGGTTCCCACCTTTTGGGAGCATTGGGTGCCAGAACTGTCATCTCCAAGCCTCCAGACTCTGAAGATGTGGCCGGGTCTTAAGAGGTTTGTTGATCAGGCCTCTGCCTCCCCAACCCCCATGTTGCCTCTACTCCTCGTGACTTTGAGGAGGGAGTTTGGCTAGCTGCCCAGAACAAGTTGAACAGTGGCCTCCCAGAGCCAGAAGCCACACAGCAAATGCAGGCCTGGAGAGGAAGGCCCCTCTGTTCTGTAGAATACTAGCTTGTTGCTGACAGAAGGTGGGGGTGGAGAAGCCTGTGGTGGAAGACTTTTGTTCACCGTGACTCAGCACTTTGCTCTTCCAGAGGGGTTGGGCTCCAAAAGTGCTTTGTCACGGAGGGGCAGGGAAGTCTGGGAGGCTGTGGTTTTGCTCTGGGAGACAGGGCAGGGGGAGAGGGAGAGGACAGGAGGCAACACGTGAGAGCTCCCCTTTCCCCATGGCACACAGAAGCTGGACTGAGACTAAAGAAGTCTTGATCACCCAGCCAGGCTTGGATGATATTTTTTGCCAGAAATGCCTTTCTGTCTCTTGTAGGGACTTCTCAGCAGGTAGTGGAACTCTTTTCCTTCTAGTAATTGCCCCTCTGCAGTTACAGCTGCTGAGGGTGCCACCTCCAAAGAAGCCTTAGACATTTGGTACGTTAGGGTCCAAGGGACACTAGAGCTTACAGATCACTTTCCTTTGTAGGGCAGAGAGTGAGACCCAAAGAAGGTGAGGCTTGCTCAGGGAAATAATCACCAACTAAAACTGTTGTGGTGGA